GTCACATTATAACGCCCCCACGTCTGAAAGGGCGAGCATGTTTGGTGGGATGCGGATTCGAACCCGCGACCCTCAGATTGTGAGTCCAGCGCCTTATCCACCTGGCCATGCCGGGCCCTTAAAATTATGCAACCATTATCTAAAGTAAAAACAACATTCAAGAGGATGTTCGATATAATTAATGTAATTTCACCATCAATACCAATTTAAAACTGAAAAAAATTATAACCTATTTCGAGCGCTTTCGAAAGGTGGACCTTTCTTATTCACGGGTAAACTGAAAGTGTTCTGGTTATCGGGTTTTTATTGTTTTATATTAAGACTTCTTGAAGCTACGTGTTTTTCTGACATCATAAATATCAATTTAATACTCATCTTTATGAACTAACAACAAAGAGCACACTTTTAGACCTTAGAAGTCGTTCATCAAAAAAACACATTTTTAGACCTTAGAAGTTTTTCATCAAGAAGTACAATTTTAGACCATAGAAGTATTTCTACAAGTAGCACACTTTTAGACCTTAGAAGTCCTTCAACAAGTAGGACATTTTTTGACCGTAGCAGTCTTTCTTCAAGAAACACATTCTTAGACGTTAGACTTTGATTATGCAGCCAACTACTGATTACACACCGAGATGTATAATTTTGCTTGCGAGCAGATCTCCCCTCCAACATCACACAACACTTGTGAAGTTTTCAACAGCAAAAGAAAAAAAAAGTAATACAAGGGTAGCTTTACAAGACTTTCGTCATGACAAACGTGTTCTTCTAGGCCCATGTGGCTCAAGGGCCTTACTTAATCCCATCTATAAATACGAGGAGACAGAATCTAAAGCCGATGTAACACGATCATGACGTACATACTTGTGGAAGTTACTGCAGAAATACAACAAATGGTATTGGACATCAGACAAAGCAATACCCAAGGAAAATGTGGTACCCATCAAGTTTCCAGATCTACTAGCCGACCACAGCAAACTGTGTGGAAGATGATGTACAAGACACTAAATCTATTTCCATATGCAAGATAGGACGACAGTATGAACTACTTCCTGCTAATCCAGAGAGGCGATTGAACTTTCACTTGATAATTTTTCTTTTTTATTGATGGCTACTTCCACCTGCATAAACAAGTGAACATCCATAACTGCATTTTCTGGTGTGACACTAATCCACATAAATTCGTAACCTAAAGGTGACTGTGTGGGGTGGGTTTACCTTTTTTTATTTTCTTTTGAGAAACCTCCAGTCATTGTTTATAAACTATTACGGTCACTGGTGCTTGTTATCGACATCTTGTTATCCATCTTGCACGAAAGGGGCATCAGCAAGACGTTGTCAACCCAACTGATGAAGAACCAGTTATGAAATGATTTCGATGAACGAAATATTAGCAGAGGATTCCACCACAACCGGCCATCATGGCCGCTCAATAGATTTGTGGAATTTTGGTTAGGGGGCTATCGGAAAGTTTGGTGTACCATGGCTAATTGTTGATCTTACGAATAGCATTCAACGCCACATTCTTGCCATCCACAGTAGTCAGTTTCTCGCAGCTGTGTACCATGTGTTATTAAGTATGGAAGCTGTTACTGAAATTAGTGGCGGAGATTGTAAACACTTACTGTAATGAGTCGAACTAGTTCAGGCGGTTTGTTTCAATAAACTGGTGTTTTAAACTTTTTTATATGTTTTCTGTTAGAGTTACACATCGATTTTAGAAGAAAGTTATTACAAAAACCAACTTAGTCATTTTGCCGTGACGTCACACATCGCAAACGGCGGCGGCGTACACTTAATTTTGCTTACAAATTTGTTACAGTTTGGAAGTTGTGACCAACGAAATGCATGACTTAACTTTACAGTCATCCTTTATATAATAACAAGTAGAAAGATAAAAACAAAAATAAATATATGGAAAACAGTGAAAGTAGCAAAAAATAATGACCAAGTTAATAAAACAACAAACAAAAAGACGAACTGAATACAGTAATGCAGGCAGGAGTTGAAAAGTGGGGGTACTTGGCTAGACATTCAGGTTTTACAATGGGAGATTGAAATATAAGAGCTGCTAAAAGCAGCAACGATGTTGCCAATAGCAGTTCAATCTTGTGGGTGTGGGGGCATGCCCCAGAAAAAAATTATATAATGATATAATTTACAGTTACTATCTAAGTCAAATATGTAAAATTGGGGATGCTACAGTTCCGATACCTCTGGAATAAATAATAAATATAATAATACTGTGGAGAAGAATTAAAAATAAGGACAATACTGAGAACAATAACAAACATAAAACCAAAACTGGACGTAACAAGTGTAACGAATTTGTTATTATATATTTATTTGAATATCAAAGTTTGTTTTGATTAAGTTTATATTTTAAAACATGCGTAGCTTATAGTGTTAAATATGTATTGCGAAACTCCCGCCTATTCTCCAAAGTTGTAGAAACTTCTCGAGAGTAAGAATCGACAATATATACGTAAACGCTTAAGTGTAGTTCAGTATTGTTACGTAAAACTGAAATTTCTAGAACGCCTTCACACGGCTATAAATATAACCAACGAGACGCGCCAAAAGAGAGTATCTATTATTAGTTCGCTATAGTCAGTGTGCTACAAACTTCGAAAGCTATAACTGTGATTGTTAATAACGCTTACTAATCGAAAACTTCAGATATTTAACCAGGAGCATTTACAAAGTTCGAACATTACAACTCATTTAACTTCAGTGGATTCTCATTGGACATTAGTATTTTTACGAAAACATTACCTAACTTCAACTGTGGAAAACTCAGAGTGTGTGGCAAAAGACAAAGCTAGCAAGCTTCCCGGCGAATCGTACCTACATCAACTCGTAATTAACTCGCCGATCGTGAACCCTCGATAAGATATCAAGGAAGCTCCAAACTAGAAAGACGACTTTGTATTGCTTGTAAGTTTGTGAAACTTTTGTTTATAAATCATTGTTTGTAATAACGATTTGTAATAAATGTTATTGTGAATTGTATTGTTGTGTATATATTAAAACTTATTTGTGTTAAAAAAGAAATTTTGTTGGCAAATATAAACTGACTATACATAGGCTTTTACTTAACTGCTAAATCTGAAGTACAATTTAACTACTAAATTCAAATTTATCTGTTAACTCAATTTCAGGTTATTTGAAATTCTAATACGTAACACAACATTAAAAATTACGGTTTAGACGCTAAAAGCTGGCGAAGCATTAGAAATCAATAGGCATTATATGCCAGATCTCCTGCATAGTTAACAAGAAAATAACCATAATTTAAAGCTGACATATTTTTACTGTCCAAAAGTTCACAAATTTGCAGCTACACCTTGAAACCAACGGCTTTTTTCAACAGAAAGATGACTGAAGAAAATGGAATTGCAGAAATTTTTCCTGGGGGGGGGGGGCAAAGTAGTGTGAAATTGTGAACTGAATAAAAAAATGATATACGTATGCTGAATGAATAAAGAAATAATTATGTTTCTTGTTTTCCAGGTGGGGCAAGTACCCTCTCTTGTCCTCTTCCCGCCGAAGCAGTTCGAATGGGCTTTTGTGCCTTTGGTCTGCTAAAACGTAATCTTCAAACTAACATTCATGTACAGCAGAGGGTCTGTGGAACGTTTTTAAATATATGTAGTACAAGCTTGACCTCGCTATCTCTCAAGTATATTTGCTAGAGTGTAAACTGTGATATCGAGCGACAGTATGTAACCATGGGCATTAGACTGAACACACTTGACGATAGGGGGAAGTATGTTTAATGGCAGCACAGCGCTGGAACATCATTCTTATAAAGTGCAACTAAGCTCTGCTTGTGCCATTGTAATATATCTCTAATGAAAACCAACATGAATTACATTCAGACAAATACAAAAGTAAGGCCACTTTCCGATTTTTATATCCCTTCCATTAGTTGCCCATAAATCCTACTTTTTAAAATGCTTCTCCGACAATTAATTATAATTCACTGCAATTAAAGTGGTAATAACTTAAACCATACTATCCTTTAATGGCTTAATATGGGCTTCCACTATAAACAGGGCATAAGAACATTCTAACTGTATTTTGTTTACCGTACGCAGGTGCCAACGAGAGCCTACACTACAACCAGTCTTTTAAGAAACACCA